TATAATTAAATGAATTATTGCTTTAGTTAGCATTAGGAAGAATTTAAATGGATTAGGTGCACAAGCATTTACTGTATTAAGCTATTCTCTAAACAAATATCTCTATTTGCATTTACTAAAGTCTTTGAAATTGGCTTATAAAGAAAAATGTTAACGATATTAAAGTAACATTTAATTTAATATATTTTCGCATAAGTTGCTAGAGCAAGGATCAGTTTTCTTTTAAAAATGCTTAACAAAATTTTAATTTATACGCAATTTCAGCAAGATTGGATGGAGAAGTAACCAAATACAACACAAAGTAGTCCTCTTTTTAAAAGACACATCGAAAAACATGCTTTAATTACCCTGACGAATCCAGTTTGCAGATTTTTATTCTTCGCATAGGTTTTCAACTCGGTGAGAGTTATTGTGTTGCTTCCATCCGCATCAATTTCTACAAAGGCTTTGACCATATACTCCATGATGAGGATAGCAACAAAATCTGGATAAATATGCGGCCTAAGCTTCACACATTTGATGGCTACTTAAGGGCCTACACCGTAATTTATGCTGAGAATCTTGATGAAATTGAGAGAGAGAGAGTGATGAGTACTTAAGAGTTGCTCACATTTAAAAGTTTATCATGATGTATAACTATATATGACAGAGGTTCAGGCAGAGATACCCTACATTTATGCGATTATAGTATTTTTGGTTATATAACCGTTTAATAAAACGCTGCATATAAGAGATTTATGATCTATGTCTTGCCAGAATAGCCATGAAAAAAATACATTAGTCAAAAGTTAAAATCATTCTGGCAAGCTTTTTGATCAACTTTTTATTACTTCATGCACAATTAATTAGTTAATGAAGAGTACATAAAAATAAAGGTAATTGATTTTTGATTTAATATCACGATCATTTTAAATTTGCACTTAATGCATGTAAACTTCTACGTAATTATAGGCATATATATATATATAAATAATCAATATATATCAAAGCTATAAGACTGAAATTCACTACAAATTGCGAAAACAAATATCTTGGTATCGTTCTTTTGAATGTCTATCAATAAAAGGTGTATAACTGGTGGTAAGCAGTTTTTTCATATGACATTTCGTTTATAGGGAAGTATTATCATGCAAAATTTATTTTAAGTATCTGAGTTATTATACGAGTAAGCTCTCAAAAGTTATGCCGAAATTGTGGACTACTAGATGGTGTTGTACTTACTACCAATTTAAAGCTAGTAAATAATGAAGTTTGATGTAAGGGACTAATTAAATACGATCTTAAGAGAGGAGAATCATGGTGGCGTAAAAAAGCTATTTCAAAGCATAAGACTTCCCTTCCATTAGTCAAAGTCTGTCATTTCTAAGTGTCTGTTGATGATCCGATTTATACTCAAAAATCCATAATAGGAAAATAATATGAAATAGATTGAAAGTAAAATATGATTGAAGTGCGAGAATTTTATCGAATTATAACCTAAGTGCGAGAGTGGAATAGTATATAAGATATTTAAGTATTTTTACACAAAATCAAACTGTAATTATTCATGAAAATAGTAGAGAATTCTAAATTCACTCAAGGCTTAATAACTCGTTATAAATAACAGTCAGTACTGCGTATATGAATACGAATGTATTCACGCATGCGTAGATGTATGCATTTTTAAAGCGGTAAGATTAGGGCTCAGGGTTCCATTTAACTTCACTTAGCCTTGCCTCCTAAAACGTATTCTCATTTAGAGCGGACGGCAGGTTCGCCCTATCCTGGCTTTTATCAACATCATCAATACGACAATGCCACAAAGGCGAAATGCAACTCAGAGAAAGTCAGGCTTATCCTATACAATATCTATAGCGTTTCTGACACTCAGGCAAGGGTACAACTGGATTTACCCTAGTTATTTGCTCCAGCAAGTCTTTTTTGTACATTATGTCCTAATTAATTCGTCCCCTTCCCTTAGATTGATATAGAATGGAGAGACATTGTTTTATATATAATTCTGCTTGGATTATAATCCTCCTATAGCTCTCGCATATTTACAATCAATTCGTTAACCCATTCTAGCATGACCATCTATGCTAACTTTCCTCAGTTCATTGTGTGAAACTGGTTTAGTTAATCACCTTGTCAATGCTGAACATCATGGCGTAAACCCGTGATTATATCTTCACCCACTTGAAATCGGTTTTGTTAAGCGTAATACGGGTAAACATATCAAAATCGAATCTTGAAGCTTTAACATGGGGTGGTTAACTAGTAATTAATGTGGGAATGCACCCAAAAGCCACCCAAGAATATGATGGAAGATCTAAGGGTAAATTAAGGGGCATAGGGAAGTCTTAGCCATGATACCGCATATTTGGGAATGAGGATATATTGATATGAGATAGAGAGGGATTGGTAGATAGTGATAATAGTTAAAGCAAAATATAGGATTAAGCTTATTTGTCCCATTGACGTATTATATCTTCGTACAAAGGCTAGCGCGAATTGCTTCCGAATTCAGTGCAAACGCAACACCTGGGAATATATCCGACCCTCAGTCCGGTGCTAAAAAATACACAACAACAGTAGATGAGGAGAATTACTTCTAACTCACAGGAAGGCATGTTCAATTTACGAAAACGGAGTCGAGTGGTATCATGACATTGAATGAAACTAGGAATAAAATACGTGCAACTATGTCTAAATACATATCTGAATTTGATTGATTAATTTTAGAAGTGGTAATCAGCATAAGCTCTATTTTATTGGAGATATGAAGAACAAGCCTCTGGTATAGTCGAAGTCTCTTTTCAATTTATAGAAGTAGGTTGACCTCGTTGTCAAAACTAGGACTTGTTGTCAGGGAGACTTGGTAGAATGCAGCTAGTCCGAAATCCTCTGTCATAGTAGTTATCATAATTCTCAGCATCAGACAGTGGACTTAATACATTCTTAAAAGTTTCGCCGGCATCGTAGTCGGCATCAACAATGAGTGCTACCATACTCCGCACCAAGCTCTGAACTCGTCAAAGAGACAAGTGAAGTCAATCTCTCGACCAGCGTTTTGCCGAAAACGGTTACATTATCACAGCTCTTTCTGTCTTGGCATATCAATACACTCTTTACCCTCTTACCAAACTCCCGCCCTATCACAACTTCTCACTTGTTTATATTCACTCATCAAAATTTGTGCCGTTTTTTTAGCAAATCCAGTGTGGGCTCATCACACCTGCTATTCATCTCGACCCCATCTCTTACGATCGGCTAATCCGACACCGGCCTATAATCTGGATCCTCTCATGCTCCCGCAGATCTGTTCCTTATCTTTTGGGTTGACCAATTTCTCTGAATTCCAGTCCCGGAGTGCGTTTTACTCCAGGCACTATTTCTCAAAGCCCTAGAAGCACGTACGCTGCCGCCTCACCGAGCAGAGCGCCTGGGCTCTGATTGTTATGCTTGCAGATATCAGTAATTGCCTTCACGGGTCGTTTCCTTAATTAAACCCGTGTAACCTGAGCAAACTGTGGTCGCCTATTTCTGATCGAATGCTGAATCTAAAGTGGATTTCTTGTACATTTTTGCCATAACTTTGGGGGCCTGACAGTCAGGGAGCTAGACGGACGGATAAGCAAACAATCACAATAATTCTACGTTATGGCCAAAATGTACAAGTAATCAACTTGAGATTCAGCATTCGACCAGAGATAGGCATCTACTATTTGATCTTGTTACACGGGTTAAATCAAGGAGACGACTAGTGAAGGCAATACCTGAGATCTACAAGCATGGGAAAGGGCACACATTTTGATAAGTGGAATGTAAACAAGGGAGAAGTTGTGATAAGGCGGAAGTTTGTAAGAAAGTAAAGAATGTATAGATAGGCCAGGACAGAAAGAGGAGTGATAGTGTGACCGTTTTCGGCAGAACGTTTGTCGTGGAATTGACTTCCCTGTCTCTTTGACGAGTTCGTAACTTGCTGCGGAGAATGGCAAAACCCATTCATGATGCCGATTTCGATGCCGGCGAAACGTTTGAGAATCTACCAAGTTCACTGTCTGACGCTGGGAATCATGAAAACTACTATGGCAGACGACTTCGGACTAGGCGCGTTCTACTAAGTCTCCCTGACAACACGACCAAGTTGCGATAACGCCGTCAACCCAATCTTATTTTATTGGGTTTAAATAAAATATTTGTGCATTTAATACACAAATTTAGGAAAGCATGAACCTACTCACCAATTTCACTTCGATCGTAATTATAGCCATTTCTAAAGATATTTAAAACAACCTTAAATTATAATACCTGTGATCTTCCAATTTTCTTAATAATTCCATATATTTCGTCCTCTAATCAGCCTAAAAGATTTTACTTGAACTGAGAGCTGAAGGCTCTAGTCTCTCTATCTAGTCCTAAGGGAATGAATCCTCAATTCCATTACTTGCAACTAAAAACATTAAAATTCATTATACAAAAAATTATCTAGACTTCATTTTCCTTAAGAAAAATTTGCATCAATCTTTTTCGAAAATTAGCTTACCTTAACTTTAAAAATCACATAATAATTATTCTGTAGAGAATAGCAAATTTTACTTTGTAAAAGAGTATGATAATTAAGACAAAATGAGTATTGTCTAAGATCACATTAACTCAGAAAAATTTCTTATCAACATTTCTATTTATAACTTAACCTTTTTTATTTAATACCATGAGCTCACTTACAACTACTCTTTACTGGAATGAATATTTTTGGGTTATTCTATTTAATAGGGCAAGCGACATATACTGTTAAGAGATAGCAAACAATATTAACAGTATCTAAGAAATTCTGTGGCTTAGGAATTAACTTATGTACGGAACTTATGTCTGAGTGTAATCCTACTGAGACCTAAACAAGACCAAAATTTAGGACACATCTGTCTCCTTCACTAGTGATCACCTAAGTAGAAAGATTTAATGCAATTTTTTAATTAAAAGTTTTAGAGTAAAAAAAAGAAATTTGACCAAATGATAAAATGATAGTTGAATACTATACATTTTAAAAGATAGTAATGGCGTTACATAATAATCAATTGCATATTGCGTTTCTTAATTTATATAAAATAATAATAAATTAAATCCGTATTCCTTTCAGAAATGGTTCAAGCTCTTTGACGAGGATCGTGACGGAAAAATTTCTCTTGAAGAGTTTTGCGAGGTTTTGGGTCTTCGCATAGAAGAAGTGTAAGTGTGTGGCTAAGTGGCCTTACATATTAGTTTTATTACTAGAGTATTTTCAGTATATGGGATTTCTTCGTAACAATCTGTTAAAATACTTGAATTATAAGTAATAACTTTTTATATCTCAAATTATTAATTTTTTTTATTACTTCTCTCATATATTTATGTAAAATTTAGGTAAATTTATATCGATTTTATGTTTTTTCATATAGCTAAAGATTCATTTCATTTTACTTTCTGAAATAAAGATTATATGAATTGTATCTATGTGAACAAAGATAGTACCAGAAGTATTTGCATACTTTTCCAAGTGCATTACAAAATATTTAAAGCTGTTATATATAGTATATCGAAAAATTTAAAGAAATATCTAAATGAGTATTTTAAATTTATTTCAGTTATCACTGAATGCTTAAAAAAAATTTTAATATATAGTGGAATATATTTTCTTAAGTACATAGTGTATGCTTTTTACCACAACATAGTTTTTTTCCAATAGCTTGAGTTATGGTATCCTCCTTGGCATATGATTATATTTCATAAAAGTATAGTTGACAAAAATTAATCAAACAATAACTCATATTTAAATAATGTTATCATTTTGATAGTGAAAGATTACTTAATGTTAATCATACTGGTACTATTTTCTATTTAATTTCCTGATATTTTACTATTTCGTAAACCATTTAGATTCACTCATAATTACAGACAATTAGTATCAGATTCTTCTCTCTGATATTCATAATGATATAATTTATTTAAATGCTTTTATGTGAGAAACAAATATAATGCTTATGATGAAAAGACTACGGCCCTCGAGCTTTGCAGAAAAATAGTTTTATTTTTGCATTCATATCAATTTACAGAATAAATATGACCCTCCATGAGGTGTCATTAAGAATTAAATTTTTTTTCTTTTCATATGCCTTATAATATTATCGATTTTACATTTGTGCATACCATATATCGATAATGTTTATTACGCTAAGTGTTTTTAAACAAATTAATAGAAACTAACAAAATGTAATTTTTATTGAAACAACTTATGAAGTGTTATCAATTTTCTCAAAATAGAATAGCTAATCTGGAACACTACTTTTAACCAATTGAAAATAATTATACATTTATCCATTCTACAGCTATACCTAACATTAAAACCTATGTCATATTAAGTTTAATCCATCAAGTTCTCATTTTTACACTGACCATCAGTCTGCCGTTGATATATTTCCTTGCAAATATATTAATATATATCTATAGGCACGGTATTGGATATACTTAACCATCTTTCAATTTTAATTATGCTTCGAAATCTCAAAGTATTTACTATTAGCTGACTTTCAAAATAATTAGTAAATCAATATATTAACTAGTTGATCCATAATAATATTTTTTTTATAAAAAACACATCATCATGAATCAAAATACTTATTAAAGCTTTTCAGTTACGCATTTATCCATTCGATCAAGGATACTTTCTTTTTGTAAGTAATTATTGCCAGAGATGCATGGCTAAATTTCATTAGATACATTCACTAACCTAATGCAACTTTTCTTAAGTAAAATTCTTTTAATGAATTCAAGCGTTTATCACAAATCATGAACTCTACTCTATTATTTTACGACAGGCAACTGATATAACTATTTCATTATATTTCTTGTCATCCATAAAGTTATTCATTTATTTAATGTGTCATGCGTATTTTGCCTAGTATATTTCTTAACTAGACTGAAGTAAGAAGTGCATTCAATTACACCGAATCCACATCCATCATTATAATAAAAACTTGGCTGGACTTTTACTTAGCTTCCGCTATCAACTCACAGAAAAAATAAATTGTTTATCAACTTCAATTTTGCATCATCTTGTCCAAAAACCCATCCATTCACTTATCCGGCCTCTCTTCAGACGGGAAACTCATGTGGGTCAGCAGCAGTCTGCAGCCAAACTTCAGATAGATTCTCGAATACAAGTACTTTCGGCAAACATGGAATTGGCCGTCCAGGTGAGTATAACGGACGAGTGCCTTCGTCTCTTCGATCAATTGGACATCTTCAGTGGCCAAGCAGACATAAAAGTTGCTACACGTAGTCTGAAGAAGTATTTAGACAATCGCTTTAGCCGGATGTGGCATGTAGTCGTATTAACTGGCTCATTCTGGATGAACTACAGCCATGATGATAATTATGCTATTCAGTTTAAGTGTGGAAGATATGTTGTCTTGGCCTGGCGAACACCGCAGGCTAGCACCGAGGCCTAGAGGATGAATAGGGTATAAATGGATATAAATCTACTCATTAATGCAGAAACATTTAACACTTATGATAATTGCTATGAAATATGCCTCTCTTTTGGATACTGTTTTTTATTTCATGCCATCTTCACCCCATAGCAGTGTAAAAGTTATTTAAGTATATTACATTTCATAACGCAGCAAATGTTAGCAATATAGAAAAAAAGTAAAGAATTAATAATATTCTTCTTATGTCTTCTGAAGATTGATAAAGACTGACTTTATAAAAATAAAACCTTATTTTTAAGCGATTTTTTCCTCACTTTTTACCGGAAAAATAAAATAATTGTTATAAATTAATTTTGCTAATAGTTAGAATGGTAAAATTATTATAATTTTATCAAG